AAGTATGTTGGATCTTTAGGTTAAAAGAATAGCCAATACGAGATGAAATACTACCGTGAAAACTGATGTGATTTTGTGTGACATTTATTCTTCATTGTGCTACTTGCTCAGAAAACACAGCTTATCTATTCTCTTGCAAGTTGCAGTGAAATAAAACCATGCAACGATTGTGTTGGAGACACTGGAAATCTAAAATGAGAAGCTGAAGAGACACATCAAGTAAGTCAGTCAGGATATGAAAGGGAGTGACCGGTCAACATCTCAGATCAGATCCTTCATCAGAATTGATGAGAGGTGTCTTTTTCCAAAACCTCGGCTCTCAGATCTTTCAGATGGACCTTCTGTGCATTTCCAACGCTTTTGGCCATTTTCGAATTTGAAGCTGTGGCACAATACCTCTTCAGTTAAAATCACCCACTTTTATCACACGAGCATATCGTGCACCACCCTACCCTACATCTGCTGCTTGGACATCAAAACGGAAATTGCGCCTGTGAGCTCCACCTTACCATGATTTACAGGGTACAATGGATTGGTCTGCTTTAAGGACATAATGCATATCGGGTTTCAGATATTAATGAACTGCTTGATCCTCCTGATTTACTTTATCCAATCCCTTCATTGTGCGATGCCTTGTTAACACACCAGCCTGCGTGTTACCATGTACGTAACCTGCTGCCAATTTATCCTCTGTTACAGTATCTTCTGTTTTGAATTTGGCTTGGTAGCACAATCCAGTTTTCCACAATCTGTTTGAATGGACAAATAAGATGCTTTGTATTTAACTGGTATGACTGTATTGGGACTTGGTAAAAGATTTGCCCCTTCGGAACTGGCTTACTTACTGTCGTATTTCTATGGCAGTATATCTGAATCAGTCTCGTAGTTGCAGTGAGTTTTCTTTGAATAGATATTGAATATCTCAGAGCTACAGTAATGGTGCATTCAGTGTTTAATCTTTATTTGGGTGTGGGGGAGGGTGCTGTCTCGCTGTGGGTGACTGGTGCAAGTATGGCAAAAATGTATAAAGTGTATAAAATGTATAGCTGAAGCACACACCACTTGCTGTGACACTGCAGCACATTTTGCTGCTCTCTATCTATTTCTGAATCCATGGGAACGATTGCGTGAAACATTAATGGTGGATGAAAGTGATTTCACTTGAGAGATTCAGTCATAGGTATGGAGCAGGAGGGAGAGCAAGGACTAAGACGGGATCTGAACCATGATACAAGACGTTTTCTCCCGCTTCCTTCACATCACTCACTGTTGTCCTAGTTTTGAAACCAACTCTGCTGCCCATCACCTGCTGTCTTGTGGAATGTATTCTGTTTGTTCCAGGTGTCCTGGGCAGCATCAGACTGGAAGCTTCAATTTGCCGACACAAAATGCTGAATTCACCGCAGGCTTAACCTTGTGGCATGATCACTGCAGCATTCACAGATCCAACCTGCAATGCATTACTGGGAAAAGAGCGCTGATCTGTATGATTATCAAGATGTCCTCTAATAGAGGGGTTTGATGTGTCATTATGTGTATAATGGACACCAAGTGTAATTACAAGGCCTCTTGTGAAAATTCAATCCTCATTGGCCTGCTTTGAACTGAATAGTGCACATAGTCCGTCTGCATGAATATGTGAATAATCAGGAAACTATCAGTATTGACTTTGAGCATGTTGCAATCGAAAAATTGCTGTTTTACATTAAGGTTATTTGTGCCCCATTGGCTCCACCTGCAAACTGAGCCTTAAGAACCACATGAGCTGTTTTTGAATTTAAGATCCTAACTCTGCCTAATCAACCTCCATCTCTTCTAATACCAAATATAATTCCTTCGATAGGGACATATTATTGCACAGCACACTTGGGTACAAAGTGGGGTACAAAAGTTGGCACCGATCAAACGTTTGCATCGATCTCTCCTCTGACATTCCTGAAACACAGATTTAATGTCTACAATCTGTATTTAACATTTAATTAATTGAATCTATTAAATTAGATAAATTAATTTAATCTGACAAATTAGATTTGTGCAAGTCCAAGAGTTTGTCCTCACACTCACGTTCAAATCCATTCACTCCCTGGCACCTGCCTACCTCTCCGACCTCCTGACTCCCCACTCCCACCACCTGGCGCCTCCGCTCAACTGGCACCGGCCTCCTGTTTGTCCCTCGCACCCTCCGCCCCACCATCAGAGGTCGCGCTTTCAGCCACCACGTCGCGAAACTCTGAAACACTCTCCCTCAATCCCTCCGCCTTGCCCCCTCTCTCCCCTCTTTCAAGTCCTGCCTGAAAGCTTTCCTGTTCGACCGTGCTTATGGCCACCTCGCCCCGACTCGGAGTCAGGCTCCGCCACTGTTAAGCGCTCTGAGATGCTACCCTGCATAGAGGGTGCTACATAAGTGCAAGTTGTTGTTGTTCCTCAGTGCTCTTCCCTCCTCAACGAGAATGCTTTTATACAATATTTTCCTGTAAGTACAGTAATACAATTTCTTCTGGTGGAAAATAATTGTTTAATCTACTCCTCCCTCCCCCCGATTAAATATTCACCTACTTGAGTTACCCTTGCATCGTTTAAGCACATTTAAGCGCTCTGAGACACCTGCATGGAGTGCGCTATATAAGTGCAAGTTGTTGTTGCATCTTGCTGTTCTCAGAACGCCACCCGTTTTAACCAAAGTACTAAATATTGTGTGAAATGTAAACGGTGCGGAGTGTGTGGTGAAAGATTGGTATCCTGAAGATATTATCCATTTACTTTTAGAGTTTCAGTGAAATTCTGACTGTATTACTGGTGATTATTTGCTGCCCTCAAGAGAATAATTAAATTGAGGTTTGTGACTATGCAAATTGGAAGAAATGGCCTTGATTGTCTGAATAACCATATGTCATTTAATGATTCAGAAAGCGCCTTCCTCGTTCTTGTACATGGTATATAAAATATTGCTGCTGAATTTTCTTCTCCCCCGCTTCTGCTTTTCTTTCTTTCCCTCTGCGTCAGCAAAAGTAAACCTTTTTTTCAGTCAACAAATATGAAAGAGTGTGAAGCCAGATTCCTCTATTTCCTCCTGTTGTGGGTAAAGCCACTGGCTCTAACCTCTGCTTCTCTCGACTGCATAGAGATCAGGACCTTGTTTTCTTTGTGGCAAATGTGTGCTGTTTGACTCGGGGCACGGGAACTCCAGGACATTGTATTGTGCAGATCAGTGGATGGAAAATTCTACATTCATAATTTTTATTAACATTTTTAAAATTTGTTTAGAGGCAAAAGAAGAAGTGATGTGTTTGCATTTGTATGTTTTCGTCATTGTTAGTTGACTGTAGAGTCCATGGAGTCCTGTAGCTCAGTGGTTAGAGCACTCACTTTGCAAGTGAGAGACCTGAGTTCAATTCCAGGCAGAGGGCGAAACCTTGGGCAAGTTTCCTCACTCCACACAGAGCCTAATAATAATCCTCCAAAACCAAAAACAATAATAAATTGGTCATTTTCAATCTACGATTGTTTGTGGGACATTGCTGTGCGCAATTGGCTGCCGCGTTTGCCCACAAATATACAGTCAATTCACTTTACAGTGTGTTCTGTGAAGCGCTTTGGGACGTCCTCCCGACGTGAAAAGCGCTATATCAAATGCAAGGATTATTATTATTACTGTAGTCACAGTGCTACAGGTTGTGAAGTAGCACACCCTGCAGATGCTTACCTTGCTCTAAGTTGTGGGCGTAATATAATTGTACAGTAGTATGTTATTGTGATTTTTTTTCTTTAGGCTCTTTGAATTTTAAGAGCGATCTTGATGCAATATTTTCAAATAATGTAGAAATATTTTTTCGTATATTCCTTTAGTACGGTGGAGGCCAACTTTTTCGTTCAGCCAACAACTACATTTTCCGAGTTGAATATTTCTTGATTTATTGCCACACCTTAAGCATCACCACTCAGTAGCTATTAGAAACAAAACGTTGATTTAAGACTATGCGAATGTTTGGTGCGCCTTTTCTTGATGTAAATGCAGCTTGACTGAAACTTGGGATTCAAGTACAGTGATGCAGTTTTGTGTTGTGCTGCAAAATCTGATTGACGTTGTGTTTAAGCCGACTAGTGCACAGGAGACTTGCTTTAGTAGTACGGCAAAAAAAATGGTCCTTTGCCAACTTGGGAAAGCTCCCTCTTTCCCCCCCACTCTCTTAAGAAAAACGGGAGGGTTGAGCAAGAGGTACCTTGGGCCCTGACCATACAGATTTTGTTCTTAGTATGTTCCCGCTCTGGAGGGAGCAATTTCAGTGTGTCGGTCGGAGTCTGCAGGGAGCATAGCTGACTGCAATTGACATTTGAAAAGGGGAAGGGAGAATTGTAGGTGCAGCGTCCAGGCAGAAATGCTACTGTATTCCAATTAGAGAGAACAAAGGAGTCATGATTAATAATTGGGACTCTCTGGCAAGGTGGCTGATGTGGGCACACTGACAGAATAGTGATGAGTCTGCAGCTTGTTTGAGTGGTGGGGTAAAGCCAGATGGTTACGAGTAAATGAAACTTCCTGAGCAGTAATATTCCTTCTGCAAAACCTGTCACTGCCGCATGTCTATTTTGAGGCTAGGGAGTGGGGTAGAAAGAGGAGGAGGAAGACTGGAGGGGAGTGGGGGGATTGTTGAATTGTTTTCTCCGATTCTTAAAAGACAGAATAATTAAACCCTGGGGAGATGGAGCTGTGTCTTAGAGCAACTATATACCAGTTAGGACGGCCAAAGCAAAGAGCCGGACATTAAGCTAAGTAGAAGCCCAATAATGTCTGCCTTTCAACGCGTTCATTAAAACTGATTAGTAAAAGATGATTCCCTTGTGGATAGCAAAACAAAGTGACGACTCTCTGGGGAGAGTTGAGTGATAGTAGATGGCACTGCAGAGCATTGTAATTGCTAGGTTAGTTGAGGAGAGACTTATTTGAATATTGCCTGTGGTATTTAATATGCATCCTGTTTATTTATTTTCCTTCACGGCAGGTTTTCATCTGAGTGGAACTGTGACGGAACCAGGCACCCAGTCAGAACCTGAAACGACCTACAGAGTGGCCATCAGCTTTGACCGCTGCAAGATCACCTCCGTAACATGTGGCTGTGGCAACAAAGACATTTTTTACTGTGCCCACGTGGTGGCACTTTCCCTGTACAGAATACGAAAGGCCGACCAGGTCAAACTACGTCTTCCCATCTCCGAGACATTATTCCAAATGAACAGAGACCAACTGCAGAAATTTGTTCAGTATTTAATCACAGCCCATCACACAGAAGTACTTCCTACAGCACAGAAATTGGCTGATGAAATCCTGTCGTCCAATTCGGAGATCAACCAAGTACATGGTAACTATTGTAAGAGTCGCTTCCCCTTCCCCGATAATGGATGGCATTGTGTTGTGTTGTGCTGCTGTATCCAGTCAGTACCATTTGCAGGGTGCATCCAGGGCCAGAGTTTTTCACTGTTGAGAGCAATCTGTGTTACTGATTGGCTTCCAGTCGATGCTTAAAGAAATCCCTTACGTGACCGATTATTGATGCCAGCAAAATGTGTGGGTCACTGTATCATGAAAACTAAAAAGACTTGAATATGAATTTTTGTAAAAGAAAATGTCTATTGAATAGGTTCCCTTCTAATCCATATAGGCCAACAACAATAATAATTCTTACATTTGATATAGCTCCTTTCAATTCCGGAATTCATCTCAAAGCACTTCACAAGATATACTCTAAAGTATAGTGATTGTGCATAGGTGGCATAGGTGAACACAGGGGCCAATTTGCGCACACAAAGTGCATTGCAGTGCTATGCATTGTAACAGTCCTAGAGACCTACTGTTTATACAACATTTTTCTTGTTTATCTAGCAGTAAGTAGGAACCCGGTTGTTAGACGATTGGAGGACCTCTCTCCATGGGTAATAATCCCTTCAAGACAAAATAACAATAATTTGGTCACTCAATCCACGATTGAATTGACTGCTTCCTGTGCACAATTGGCTGCTGCATTTCGCCCACAAAATATACAGTTAATTCACTTTACAATAATAATTATTTACAGTATATTCTGAAGAGCTTTGAGATGTCTCAAAGACATAATAAGGTGCTATATGAAATGCAAGGATCATTATTATTCTAACCTAGGATTTGTCAGAATGCTTTTCAAATTACTCGGAAGTGGATTTAACAGAGATTCATAAATAGTTAAATGTTGCAGGTATAGTGGAAAAGCCTGAAAAGGGTACCAATTTGAGATAAAACAACAGGTAATGTTGGAAAACACAACAACTCAATCTGCACTGGACTGAGAGAGATGGCGGGGGGGACTTGGTATGACCTTAACTTGACAAAGATCATCCACGGCTCAGTTGATCATCTGCACTCCAGAAACCCTTTTTTAAAAAAAGAATTCACCGTAAATTTTTTTTGAAAAATAAGTTGACCCCTACCCTTGTTCACTGATTGTACACTTGTCAGTTGGCCACCTCCCCTCCCTCCCTGGTTTGGTGTCCAGGCTCCCCACTGTTAAGTTCTCTGAGACTGCCTGTGTGACGGGTGCTATGTAATTGCAAGTTGTTGTTGACTGAGTAGGTCGGCAAGTGTTGCCCATCTAAGTTCCAGTCGACATTTTGGAAATACGTTTTGGATTTTATGAGATTTTCGATAACCTTGTTTTTGAAAAGCAAGTGGTCAGCCTTTCCAAAACAAACTTAGGGGAGTGGCATCGTTTGTTCTCCTTTTACATCAGTAAAGATTGAACACCTTTTTTAAGGTTCATTTGTTCGCTGATTTAAACTGGTGGTGTACTTGCTTCCTTCCCTATTCTGCGCTTAGGCCTTGAGCATTTAAGTCGAGGTGTCAGCTGATATCCGCAGCAAAACTGTCTGCTTCAATTACTTTTTACGATTGTTGATGCGCCGTGCAGTGATGAATGGATTTCAGAAGAATGGGGAGTTGAAAAGTCCATGACATGGTGTTGCTAATAAAGAGATGATCATGTTAGATTTATACCGTGTAGGTTAATATATTTGTCATTTTGCATGTCAAAAATCATCAGGATTTCTGTAGGAGTAGCTGATGTTTCTTGACATTTTGCATACCGATCCCGGATATTGTGTAGGAGAAGAGAAATGGAGGAAGATGCCGGAGACGGGTGAGATAAAGATCAGCTGGGTTTATAGCGTTTTGTTTTTCCTGAATTATTTTCCACTGGCAAAAGCGAGGAATGTCAGTATTGGGCAGTGGAATATTAGGCTTTGTCGGCAATTGAATGCACAAATGCAGGTTTGTTGGGTGTAATTTATTTCGACACTGGTTTAACAGGTGATCCCAACAGAAATCCATCTTCAATGTTTGATTCCTCGTGCTTGCCATCGTTGTGAGCCTTTTGAGTGACGGTCCAATTTGTTTCTCATTGTGAGTGGTTTTGTTCTCTAGAATTGCACCCATTAGGCACTGCATTGAGACTGTTCAGTCTCATTTTGGACACAACACTTCTGGAGAGACCAAGCTTATAATAATAATAATAATAATAATAATCCTTGCATTTGATATAGCGCTTTTCACGTCGGGAGGACGTCCCAAAGCGCTTCACAGAACACACTGTAAAGTGAATTGACTGTATATTTGTGGGCGAACGCGGCAGCCAATTGCGCACAGCAATGTCCCACAAACAGTCGTAGATTGAAAATGACCAATTTATTATTGTTTTTGGTTTTGGAGGGAATATTATTAGGCTCTGTGTGGAGTAAGGAAACTTGCCCAAGGTTTCGCCCTGACCCCCGGGGATTGAACTCAGGTCTCTCACTTGCAAAGTGAGTGCTCTAACCACTGAGCTACAGGACTCAGTCTGGGTTTAAACACAAGTGCTAAATGTCTACTCACCCTAGTGATCTGCCCAGTCCCGTTTGTCAAATTATTAAATCTGTATGTAATTGGATGGTCTTAATATATACATGGAAATTTGGAAAGAGCAATGTTAGACTAGATTCTGAAGCTTGGATGAGATATTGAAAACTTATTGCATCAAGTCTTGTAGGACAGCGTGGTGGATTCAAGTAGAATGTTCTTTTAAATACAATATTTAGTTTTTCAAAAGTTACATCTGAATACCTAGAATAAGTCGTTTACACTATCCTTCAGGGCCTGAATGTTAGAATTCACCTTTGGATTGATGCTTCACTTTTTAACCCTGTATTTTTAATTAATATGCAAGTCAATTCACTTTACAATGTATTTTGTGAAGCACTTTGAGACGTTTCAATGATGTGATAAAGCACTTATCAACAGCAAGGATTATTATTATTATTTTTATTATTAATTTGGGCAGCTAACTGTGTGTATGTGTACTCAGGTTTGCTTTTGAATCTATATGTATTTTTAAATGTGAATTGAGGAACCTGAACTACTGTTCCACCAATTGCTAGATTTACCATGACTGACTGGATATTGTCAATTTACTCACAGTGCTATAGTTTAACTAAATCCTTGTGTTGAGTTTGCTGCTGTTATGGGCAAGCAATAACATGTATTCTGATCCTCACATGAGACCAGAATAAATCTATTCCCATTCCTCATACTCTTTTCCCCCCCACCCAACACACACACACGTGTGGATCCCACAGAGTGCAAGCATAGAAGGATGTGGAGGTTTAAGTAAACAACATGTTAATTTCATGTAGTTGCTGTGCCCATAGTTTATTTTAGTAATTCCGAGTTTACTGCTAACTGCTTTTGTCAGGAGGCACTCAGCTGCAGAAAGATTGCTGCCTATGGGCCAGGGGCACTGTCCACTAGTGTTTTCTGACATGAGATTAGGAAGGAGTAATTATAAAAATTAAAAACTGTTACGGGAAAAATCTTTCTTGTAAATTATTAATCCTTCATCTCCTTTCACTTCCAGAAGTACAAGTGTAGGGTCCCAAGTCTACAGACAGCAGCTGACGAGGCAGCAGTCTCCGCATTAAACACTGTTTGTTACTAAGATGACGGCTGCACAGCTTCAACTCAGCTGATGTTCTGTAGCATGTGTCAGCCCTCTAGTCCTTTCTGTATTATCTGATATTTGGTAACTCAAAGTGGTGATACCACCACATACATGGTGCATCATTCATTCCCTCAACTATGTTGAAAATAATTTTTTTTAGATAAAATTACCCGATGTCCTACAATCAGAATAATTTATATGTCTACGATGAGGATATTTTTCACTTGGGAGATTAGCCAGAACTTGCCCTATAACTTTTTTTGCCAATGAGGTATGCGATTGATTCACATCTGCAATCAAATTGGTTCCTCTCGCTTACGAAGCGAGTGCTACAATACGCTACAGGATTCTTGATGTGCGAAATGCCCAAGCATTTCACGTTGAGTGAAAACGGACCAGGAGCTTGGGATTTCTGTTTTGAAAGTGAAAAAATATTGATGCCCCCAAAATAACAACAGACCTCTGATTTTTTTTTAAAAAAACACTCAGCCTGTTTCCTGCTGCGACTGCCATTTTTAGGCTAGAACAAGAGCGGTCAGAATAAAGTTACTGAGTCTGAAATCTTCAATGCAGCGCGCATTTATCAGAAGCTGAAGCGTAATGTCAGCAACCGTGAGGAGACATAATTGGAATCTGAGAGAGAAAGGAGGGGGAAGGGGAGAAACATGCGTCTATATGGGGGGAGGGTGGAGAGAGACAGACAGAGAGGAAAGAGAGAGAGAGAGGAGGGTTTGCTTAAAACATTGGTAGGTGATGAAAGGTTAGCTGTTGCTATGAAACGGTTGCATTACTGAAATTGCACAGGAATTGATGAGGCGCCACAATCTGCCATGCTTGGATAGTGCTGCAGATGCCAATGACCAGGCTGGGAATATTTATTGGCTGAATTGTTCAGTCAGCTGTTCAGTACCACTGGCTCTAATAGCATTTTGTTTAGAGAGGAAAAAGTAATACTACTGTCACTCGCACCCTCAGAAAAAACGTGGCTGGACTACTTTGATTTCATGCTTCTCTCTGGCTAAACGTACGTGTGTTATTATGCCAAGCCAGTCTTGCAAGTGAGCCTAGCATTTTAACACAATCAAAAACAGAGGTGCAGAGCAGCAGAAATTCTATTAAAATTACATGATTTAAATGTATTTGTACTCTGTTTGTATGTGGTAAACATATCGTTGTTGGGCTAGAGTTCACTGTAGCCTGGAATTGAAGTTCTTTCCATTTTGCAGTTTTTCATGTTAAATATTTGTTTTGTATTTTAAATCCACTGGTTCGCAGAAGTTTTTTAAGTCCAACCTAGGAAGTGGCTACTTGTGAAAGACACAGTGGCATTAGGGTTATCTTGTTTGGGACTTTGAAGTAAC